ATTGCGCCCTGGACAAAAAGGCTTCAACTGAGGACATGCAGGCATTTTCTGGATGATAACTCATTCGTCATTTTCTGGGACATAGGTATGAGTCTAGTCATACTTCACCTTACAAGTGGGGTGCGGAGGGGAGGGGGATATATTTCATGATTTCATACCCCTTTTTTGGGTTAAAGGAAGATTAAAAATAAAAGCAGTCATAATAATGAAACCAAATGTACATTTTCCAGCAACATAGGGAAACAACATAGAAAGCAAAATAAAGAATTTTATAAAAAGAGAATAATAGCACAAATTTATCAGGACTGGTTATTTCGAATTTGTTGAAGTGCCCATTTAGGAATACAAGATCAATTTATAGCTTCCCAGTACTTGTCCCCTAACAAGGACATTTACATTCAGTGTTTGTCAAAGGTTATATGGCTCAGCTGGGCTCCCAGGGGGGGTGGCCCGTTTATCTAACAATGGCAGTGCAAATACACTTGTCAAGCTGAAATGTATTTGTGCTGTTTTTTTTTCCAAACACAACTTCCCTTTGTTCATTAATTCTCTAGAGACATGAAGTTAATCAAAATAATCATCCCCCCTCCCCACCCCTGCAAAAACAAAGGAAAACAAAACCAAATACCTCCTGATCCCATTTCCCCTTGCTGGCCTTTCTCCTATGGGTTGCTATAAAAGGGGGGAACTAGACCCTCATGCTTTTTTTTAAACAAAAGTGCTTATTTTACTTGTAAAGCAAGTGCTTTGGAGAAAGCTGGTTGGAGAGAAACTTCCTTATTTTGTGGGGGTTAAGGGGGGGAAGGCCAATAACTGTTTTTGAAAGGAAGAAAACAAAATTTTGGAGTTGTGTCCTCTTGAAGGTCCAAAGAAAGATGCTGCTTCTAGACGGTGTGCCAATGGGAACAAACTATAAGCAAACATTTGTTATAACTTCTGCACAGGAAAAACAACATTCCATTCCCCCCCAACCCTGGGTTACAATACTGCACATATTTAAGCCAAATGTGCCTGCACAATACTGGGGTGGGGTGGGTGGGAGAGGACAGGAAGTAAAAAGGAAGTTTGCCTCCAGCCCTCTTTTACAATGCACTAGGGAAACCAACTCTCATCTTAGCACAATAATGCAAGTTATTACCACCAGACACTTCGATTATTACTTAAAATTGTCAAGCTGTGCTGTCGAAATGTACATGTTACAGCATTAAAGGAGAACAAGACTGGTGCCTACAAAATAGAACTGGCCTCATTGCTTTGTCCACACCCAGTTTCTACCTCCACCTCTTTATTTAAAACAGCAATAATTTGAATGTATGCGCTGCTGGAATTTTCTCCATGCCACTTTCTTCTTCATTATCATTTTGAAAAAAAGGAAAAAAAAACAGGGGCAGAACTGAACATAAAAATATTAATGCATGATGCTACAGAGCTAAGAATACTAAAGCCCTTGAAGAGATCACACTGATTGTCATATATTAATTTTTTATGTTGATGTGCGAGGAAAAAGGAACACATTATCAGCAAGTATGAATTTAAAAAATGATCAAGTGTCAGGTTATTTTTCCTCCACAAATAGAAAGAAAATATCCACCAGCATCCTAATACAAGAAAAGGAAATGCAAAGACAACCTTTGTATCAGTAGGGCTCGGAGATTCCCTCGTTTTTGAAATGATCTTGGAAAACCCATCCTCATGTTGGCTTCGTTCCCCTCTCCCATTCAACAGTGACTTTTAAAGTCTTTAAAATCAGGAGGGGCATACCTGATGTTCAAAGAATTGTGCTACTCAAAGAGTCTGATGGATCTGGCTCTATGCAAGACTATCCAGCTGACTAGTGAGGCTCTTTCTTCCATTACAGAAAGCGGCTACAAACAAGCACAGCACCAGGCCCCAATCCAACATCTGGGAGAACAAGTATTTTCATTCTGAGCTGAGCTAGACTGTATCTTCGCTATACTTTCTTAACAAACACCTCTTTCCTGGGCTGCCAAAAATTGGTGTCTGTGTTGTGGTACAGAATGAAGAGTGCCATGTCAGCAGGAACAGCCAAGGGATGACACACAAAGGACTCTGAAGTTCCGTCTGCCTTTCCAGAATGCAGCACAACCGTTAGGCATATGTTATCCCCCTCCAATTTTTCTGTAAACACCTTGATCCCAAAGGCCCCCCAGAAAAGGCCCTTGAAGGAGAAATAATTTTAGCCCTTAAAGGGAAAGGAGAAAGAAACACAAAGCGTGGCTTCAAATTTATTTCCCTACAGTCTCCCATCTTGTGTGGCAGGGCAACAGGAATGCACTTGGAAGGCTAAAGGAAAATTAGGTGATTTTAAAGAAGTTACAGGTTGCTAGTACCTAAAAAAGCAATGTAAACAAGTTTTAAAAAATTATTTTCAACTCTCCCTCTACAGAGCACTGAAAAAAAGGACCTTTTCTTTATTAAAAAGTGGGGAATGGGGAGGAATGGGGATGTTTATTTCAAGTTTTGTTCATTTCTATTCCAACGTGAGGTATTTGGTGTAGAAAGGTTAACACTTTCTTTCAAGGTAGAGAACTTGGAGCAACTGAGGGCAAAGAAAATTCACCTGACCATTAGTGCAGCAACAAAACTTAATGGCCAATATGCAACAGGCTGTTGCTGTGCTTTTTGGCAAGTGCATTAAAAACTTTAGCATCGGCAAACTGAAAAGATCTCTCAAGATTCCTTGGGCATCAAAAGAAAGGAGGGGGGGGAAGCTAAGCTAGTAGCGCCCTAGTCTTTGTGGAAGGCTTAGTTGAAGGAAATGGCTGGGTTTGTTAGAAGACTAGAATTCGCTACCTTAAGGCCCCCAGTTTTTTTTGCAACCTATCCATATACAGCAAACCAACAAAACATTCAGCTAGTGCCAAAAGAGCTGACTCAGAATGATATGCCGTGGTCTGTGGGGAAGACAAAATTCATTTAGCGGAAATTAAACAAAAAGGGAAGGAAAATGTAGAGTAAGTGTATCTTTTTAAAAATGCACTGTTCACCAAAGGACGAAATTGCAGCTTTAATATTTGGCTCTATGGATTTGGCTTTGGTAAATTAAACAGTGCGGGGGGGGTGAGGGGAGAATGACAGGGTTTTCTCATTTTCAGACTCTGCCTTTGTCCTTCTTGCATCTAGATTGAGCACCTTTTCTTAAGGTCCTCTTCACCAGCCATGTCCCTCCTCCTACTCCACAAACTGGCTGACTTTCAACCTCCTGTTTTGGAAAACTGGGTGGTGCCCAAGTTAAGCAAGGCGAAGCAAACAATACTAATGTTCACACCACATTGTAAAGTCAGTGTAAAATTTGAGTGGGTGGGGGAGGAAGGAGGCTTGCTATAGAAGTTTTTTTTGGTTAAAGAAACTGAAATTTGTATATAATTTTTTAAAGTGTAATATGCACCATGAAGCAGGATGGTTGAAGCACACAGCCAGCTAAGATGTCCTCCCCTAACAGTCTAGCAGATCCCACAAAAGGAGGACGCAGGGAAATACAAACATTAGTTAGTGTGTGATGGGACTGCCAGCTCTAACAGGCCAATGGCCCCAAAACTCCAACATCTTGGAACAACTGGTTCTCAAATGCTCTGCCAACTGCAGTCCAAGAAGCAGCATAAGGCTGCAGGACCGGGGAAAGATGGTTGGATAAAAAAAAGTTTGCCCTGGCAGCCCTCAACCGATTGCTACATCCCAATCTTTGGCTTTGAACATACTTGTGATATGGTAAAATTTTTGTTAGTTTCTACACATGATACAATTTACAGTACAAAAAGAAAAGAAAAAAAAACAGTGCATACACTCAAATGTGTAATAAATATAATTTTTTTAAAAAATAAAAACAAACATGCACACTAACCCCCATCCATGGATATCTCTACATATATAAACACGTACACACTTAATGAAACCTGCTGGATGGTATTCTAACAGGGGAAAATTATAAATACAGGTGTAGGATTGTTAAGATACAGAAGTGCATTGTTTTCCTTGGAGAAACCTCCTTCTCTTTTTTTGCTATTTTTTTAAAAAAAAGATAATGCTTGTTTCTTTATAAATAATTTCTTTTTCTTTTTAAAGCAACACTGACTTGTCTAATGTGGAAACATGCACAACACAGAGAAGAGGGGGAAACCACAAAGGAAATTCTCTTTGGAGATCCAACACTTGTAACTCTTCCTACTTCCCATCAAAAAAAAAAAATCAGCCTCCAGAAAGAGAAAATCCCTAAAGTGCCTGATAATATGGTCAGGATAATTCTGGCAGCGCATACGCAAGTTATCAGAGGGGACCGTGTCAGCTGGGCAACAGCACCCATTTTGAATACAAGGGAATATGAGCTGCCTAAGGTATCATAGTGTCCTACGTACAGTAGTTATCAATTCAAGTGTTTTCACCAGAGTAAAAAAAAAAAAATAGGGCAAGCACGACAAACAGATTAACAAATAAACAAAACATCACCAGAAAGGAAGGACCAGTTATAGTGGCACTTTGCCAGGAGCTGCTGCCCCTCTTGGCGGTCCCTGGTTTATCACACCCTTAATGCCAAATAAAGCTGAGAAGAAATTCAGGCTTCTGCTCCCTACATAGACTTCCATACACAAGGAGGCGGTAACGGTGAAAGGGCCAGGCAGATGGGAAGCTGAAGTTGGCTGATTTCAAGAGGTTCCAAGTTTCAAATTCAAGCCGCTGCCACTTAAAAGAGATGTGTCCTATAACTGAGCAGAACCCACAGGAATTTGGCCTTGCCCTTTGCTCATTCTCAAACACACCCAGCTAGAAGAAATGGGAGTCCAAAGTATTTCATCTAAATTGCCCATTTAACTTAATCTAATGAACTCACAGATTCAGACAGCACTCTTTAGTGAAGGACAAAGGAAGGCAGGTCACACTTTTTTTTTTGTTTTATGCGATAATTTTAACCAGATATAATAAAAGGGAATCATTTAAGGGATACCACTCTGAAAACAACTGATTAGTTTGACAACCACACTGCTGGTTGTTTAAGGACGAGTGTCACCACTGGTCCAAGCATAAGTCTAGATAGGAAGCAGAAGCTGAGATCCTCTCTTCTGTTTTATGGCCAGGCCATTTTGGAAGGCCAATCCCAGTCTTGTTCTCCTTTAAAGTGTCCTATATTTATAGAATTCCTAAATAAATAGAAGATATTAGACCACCCATCATGGTTCTTAAGCTACTCCGAGTAACAGCCATCTAAGCCAATGGCATTGTGCCTATCCTTGGTGTAGGGGCAGCTGTTCCCATTGGGGAGGGCACTGCAGGCTGCTGTTTTGGCAGCAATGCCGCAGTTCTTGAGGAGGTTGAAGCTGAATGGGCTGATGGCGTCTTTAGGTGGAAAAGGCTTCATGGTGGAAAGGATAAGTGCCAGGCAGTCGGCAACGTCTTTGTTGGGGGCGCAAGCCAAGGCTGGGGTATGGCCTGTAAATGCAAAACAAAACACCAGACATGTTCAGTCCCAGGCGCATCATGTTTTCCAATAACAGCAGAGCCAACTGTTCAGACTTCAGACATAACCACTGCAACAGCATTCTCCCTAGAAGCCTGAAACAATCATACATTGACTGAGGAAGGGATTTGTCCGGGGATTACTCTTTTTTTTCAACTCGTTCCTCTTCCTGCAATAGCAAACCACCCTGACGTCAGAAAACAACCCAGACAAACTGGCCTAATATTGGCCAGGCTGTGGCCCTTTGACCCACTGCTAATTTGTACACTTCTGGTAGCAAACTTAACTTGGATAATCTTGCATTTGTTCATGAAACTTTTGTGTCCACCGTGTCTTATGTTTTCTTTATCACTAATGGGCGGGGATGAGACTGGGAAAGGTGAGGAAAGGGTCAAATCCTAAAAACACTATTTTCCTAAACAATTCTATTCTGCCACTGTTCACACACACCAAAGGCTGTGAAGGCTGTGTATGAGCCGTGCAAGTGTGTAACACAGATTTCCAGTGTACTGGATGTAAGAGGGACAGAGGAAGAACATGCTCTCTGATGGCATCTCTCAGTTGTGTACCCACTTACTCTCTGTGTGTTGGAGATGCAGAATGTGTGGCTCCCTAGAACTGCTGGACTGAATGCCCAATCAGATCTAGTCCGTGGTAAGGGATGATGGGTGCTGCGGTACAAGAATACATGGCAGGCCCAATAGCCTACATACTACTCTATGCACTGAAACTGAAGACCTGCAGTGGCGGGTCTGGCATAATCAGGTACTTTCCATATAATTTGGACACCTGCAGCAGGCTCTGCGCAGCCTATCTGTGTATTCCCACACGCACACACTGTAACACCCATTCCAACAAGGCTACCCATAATTCCTCAATACTAAACAGATTTCATCAAGAGACTGGAGGACCAGAACTTAGCATGAGGATTGTTTCCAATAGGTTGCAAAGAAGCCACCCAAAAGGATGGACTTGACTCCTCCCAAAGAGGGTCACTGCGGTGTCATGAACAGCATCTCCACTCAGCCGTGGAAACTTACCTGAGAGGTGGCAACAGTACCTTGAAAACCCTGTGCAGGTCACACCGCACATCAGAAGCAACTTGGGGGCACATGGCAACAACCAGCTAGAAGGGTGGGGGCAGGAGACTGCAGGCTCATAATGTTTCGGTCTCATATTAGTGTTCGCTTCTCTTCTAATTTTATTTCTATCTAAACTAAGCGCAGTTAACAAGAGAAATTCACCAAGTTGAAACTTAGAAAAGCAGAAGAGGATGGAAATGCCCAAAGACTCTCAGGCAGGAGCTGCATAGGCTGCACTTAATGCACTAAAGCCAGAGGCTGCTGTATCTGGGAGCTTTTTTTTTTTTTGTCTCAGCCAGTTTATCTCAAAGTATGGACTGAAGGACTCCTTCATATCAGAACAGAAGGCTTATGGAGACAGGCAGAAACTCTCTCTCCAAGGAGAAGAAAACCTCGGGAAGGATGGCAAATATTTAAGCTGAGGTGGCCTCAATTTTTGCAGGGCAGCCATTTCTTTTTGGAGGCAGCACAGGTCATCCCTGGTGAATTATGCGGCTCATCCTGAGATCTTTCTAGAGAGAAGGTGCAGGACCTTAAGAGTTCCAAAGAAAGCTTCAATGGGGGCTGTAAGATTTCTCCGGAGGCGCCAAGAGGGAATACAGTGGGCCACCTTTCAGAGATGCCTTTCCCACAATTGAATCTGACCCTGCCCATCCAGATGCGCTTGGAAGCATGGAGAATACGCACCTTCTTCGTCCACAGCAAGCACAGTGGCACCTCTGCTCAGCAGAGCCTGAACAACAGAGGCCAGTCCATTTCGAGCTGCAATATGGAGCGGCCTGTGCACAGCAAAAAGAGAAAGGGGTGTTGGAGGTACATCCTTGGGCAAATTACGTAGAAGCCAATAAGGACCTGTACCTTGGGACTGAGGGCTGCCAAACTTGCAGCTGACATGCATGTCAAGAGAGGAACATCATTCAATAACGTTGCCTAAAGGAGGAAGACATTTTATACAACCACATAACCTGTAGGTTGAAGATACCAGAGTATTTCTTCTAATAAATTTTGTAAAACTTTGCTAAGATTGCTTTCTACAATATATATTCCTTTTTTTCAGACCTTGGGAGCATATGACAAAGGTTTGCATTTAGAGGAATATAATAAGCTGTCGACTGTTGCACTGGGAGAACCAGGAGAACTAATACTTAAGACTTGTTCCATCAAGAAATGGATTGTTAAAAAATTGGCCAAAGGGAATCCAATGATTGATAACAGTAACCAAGACTATTTATTAGAACACAGCTAACATTTTAAGATAAAATAAAAGAAATTCTGGGAAACAATAAAGCCTAAATGTTTGAGTCACGGGTCAGTAACGGATCACGTTGCATGCAGAAGGCCTCAAGTTCAATCCATTTAAAAAAAGATATCCAGCAGTGAAAGACTACTGGTTGAGGCAGCTACAAATATAGACAAGTGTAAAAATTTTATAGATTGTTTTTAAAGTTCATTTCCTTTTTAAAGAATACTGACTTCTAACACTAGTTTTTAAAATTGCATTCAATTTCTTTTTTAGAAAACGTTTTTAATCTGGTGGTAGAGTGTTGCTTTTGGTGTCCTCAAAGCTGAGAAGCAATTAACTGTACTACTACTAAAAATATTAACTGCCATACTACGGTACTAATAAAAATAAGAAACAGACTAGCTGCCGGGCAGACTGGACAATACCAGGCTAAGTGGATGAAAAAGTAGCTTTCTACACAAAGCTTCATTTGGGGAAACTGAAGTTCAAAGGAGTACTAGACATCTCCTTCCGTAATTAGAATTACGAGATGTCTTATTTTAAAAACCCACCACCACACAGGACCCAAAAGACAACTTTAATTTTCACAGATCCTGGAGGTAGATAACGCATTCCTCCTCCCCCCGCCCCAATATACCAGGGCACCCAAATGCTTCTGCAATTCTGACTTCTCTTCTCTTCTGACTTCTTTCTGGATACATGGCAGTGTCACTGAGTAAAAATAAAATGGAGAAGAAAGGAGGCAGGGATGGAAGAATCATTTCTCATTTCCACCAGCTGTGCAAATACTCACATCTGCAGAGCACTGTTAGTTGCATTGATAAGGCCAAGGTCTTGGGTTTCCCCCAGAATCAACAAGGCACACTTTTCATGACCCTGAAAAGGAAAGATAATATATTTAAAGGGTAGAATTATTTTGAAAAAAACGTCTTTTCAAAATGGCATTCTCCTCTGCGCTTCCCTCCTGATGAAGGTTATGACGTGGGTTTCTCCCCTTTCCCCTCACAGGTTCATTTCCTTTTAAATAAGGGCTTAACAGAATGGTCAAACTGTGGTTTATCTCCCGGAGACACACCGAAGGAAGAGTTTTATTTAATGTGGGATGACAAGCATAGCAGCATCAGAGTCTTGAGGCTGATGAGCTATTATAGCAGACAGGTAAACCTTGGGAGTAGAAAGGGCAGAGTTGTTTGTGAAAGAGATGGGAGAGAAACTGAAGGACAGCTTGCAGGGTTGTAGGATTGGTTGGAAGATGATGTTGAAGAGCAAACTTTGTGAAGACAGTCCATTTATACGAATAGAGCTTAACAGTGGCAAGTTTCGGGTGTTAGCTAAGATGGCATCTATTGAGGGAGAATCCTCCACGCTGTGAGATGGAGTGTGTGAAGGTCAGGGTGGTGAGTCTTGCCTTGATGCTGTGAGAGGTGGTGAGGAATGAGAGGCAGTCAGAGGTACCTGTAGCGATGGAGCGGAGCATGGTGAACCATGGTTGTCTTGGCCACCAAGGGGTAACGAGGACTGCGTTGGAGTGATTGTGATTGATCTTGGCTAAGAAGCACACAAGCCTCTCTGGCATGTGCCTGATCCCTGAAACACTGAGCTGGACTTAAGTGTAGCTTCCAAACCCGGGATGTACGAGAAGGCACGTCTGAAGAGGATAAAGTTTCTATCTGAAGCAAGGCTCTGCTGCCTCCTTGTGGAGAGAGCACAGATTTTGCCAAGGGAAGGCAGCTAATATTAAAGGCATAGCACGAAAGGCATTTTCTCGGGACACACACACACACACACACACACGCCCGTTTTTTTCTGGACTCTTGACCCTTCTCCATGTCAATATTTCAATCTCTGTCAAATTCAGCTACACAATTTTCAGAAGTAAGGCAGTGCAAACATTTGCCTGCCTGGCACTTGGCCTACAACACTGCTGTGTTACAGTGGTGTGGCCATTATGTTAAGAAAAAGAGAGGTTACTCTGGTTCTTCGAGTGGTCACCTGTGAATTCATACTAATGGGTTTAATCTGTGCTTATGCAGAAGTCTCTGGAGTGTTCTAGAGATTTATGCTATGTTCGTCAATGATTGCCCCTGCCAGTACACGTGGTCCGCCCCGTCCTGGCTATTACCTCAGTTCCTAAGAGCCCGCCGCTGCATCAAGGTGATACAGGAGTGACGGACAGAGGGGAGGACAACTGGGAAGTGTGAATTCACAGATGGCCACTCAAAGAACCAGAGTTACAGGAAAGTAACCTCTCGTTTCTTCTTCGTGGTCTCTGTGAATGCACATTAATGGGTGATTAACATGCTAACTTACCAGAGGAGGGACGTCACGGAAGAAGAGAAGTACAGCTCTCCCAAATGCTGCATCCTTTTTTGGCTCTCAGATCTAGGCGATAATGGGTGGCAAATGAAGATGCTGTTGCCCATGTAGCAGCCTTGCAAATGTCTGGGAGTGGTTCTCCACGAAGAAAGGCCTCAGAGGAAGCCGGAGCTCTGGTAGAACGAGCCTTAATACCAACAGGTAGAGGCTGTCTGGCGAGTTGGCACGCCAGTTTTATAGTTGCAACGAGCCAACGGGATACAGTTTGAGACGAAATATGAGAACGTCTGTGAGGGAGGTGCGGTGTTACAAAAAGTTGTTTTGATTTGCAGAAGGAAGAAGTCTGTGAGACACAGAAAGCAAGTGCGCGTCTAACGTCCAAAGTGTGTAAAGACGAATCGAGGTCAGTTGTAGGTGACGGAAAAAAGGTAGGTAAAATAATAGGTTGGGAGAGGTGAAAATCTGACACAATGTGCCTATGGTGATCCGTGGTGTAGGGGCAAGAATGGATTTTTCTTCCTTGATCTTGAGACCCGGATCCGCGAGGAGAGAAAGGGTCAACTGAATACCTTTTAAAGCCTGAGAACGTGAAGGGGAGACTATCAGCCAGTCGTCTATGTAGGGGAAGATGGAGATTCCCAGAGTAAGCAGGTGGGCTGCTACAGATGCCATACATTTTGTGAATACCCTTGGTGCTGTAGAGAGGCCGAAAGGAAGGGCTTTGAATTCATAGGCATGGAGTCCTATGGCGAATCTGAGAATGAGCGATACAGTCCAAGATATGTAACCTAGTTTAGGGAGGCCTGTGAGAGGTTGAATTCCCACCTAAGGCAGTTGCCTCATTTTGCCTAAGAGTAGGACTGGCCTCTGTTTTTAGGCCCTATGTAGCTTCTGAGAAACTTTGTACATAAATCAAGGAAAGGCCTACGAATAAATGGCACATCTCTGTGTGTGTGTGTGTGTGTGAGAGAGAGAGAGAGAGAGAGAGAGGGAGAGAGGGGGGGGGGGGGGGGGGGAAGAGATAGATGAGATGTGTGGTCCAGTCTGCCATCAGTGCATCTGCAAGGGACCCGTGTCCCGTGCCTGCCCTCAAATAGAAAAGGGAGCATTTGGAGTTTTGGGATGTGGCGAACATGTCTATGTGTGGTTGACCCAAGATCTTGCAAAGGTCGTGAAATACAGACTGGCCTAGAGTCCATTCATGCATCTGGCTATGTAGTCTGCTAAGAGTGTCCGCTACAAGACTGTCTTGAGTAGCAATATGTACTGCTACGGGAAAAATGTGGTGTTCTAGACACCATTCCCAGAATTGGACAGTGAGATACAGCAGTGGAAGGGAATGGGTGCCTCCTTGTTTGTTTATGTAAAACAACGCAGTGGTATTGTCGGTTGTGACTTGAACGACATTGCCGAGAATGATGGGCTTGAAGGCTCGGAAGGCCTTGAAAATGGCTAAGAGCTCGAAATTGTTGTAAGCCACCCAGAGCCCTTTGGGTAGAGTGGACAGCATATGAGTTAAATAAATAAATAAATAAATAAATAAAAACAATTATTTATATGAAGAGCTTGCTTGGTGAGGTAGCATGAATGACCAGGTAGCATGAATATGCAGGCCATTGCAATGTGCCCCCCCCATCTCATAGGGCTTGCATCGGTGGTGATCTGAACTGACAGTTGGAGAGAAGTAAAAGACAGTCTGATTAACAGGTTGGATGGATTGTCCCACCAGAGGAGCTGAGAAGGAACTCAGGGGTGACTTGGAGAAGCTTGGAAAATGGGTCTGCCATAGGATCGAAGAGGAACAGATAACATGATTGTGGCAGTGCATCTTTAGCCTGGAGTGCTGAATGGTTGACGTGGTGGAGGCCATAAGGCCTAGGAGACGTTGAGCCGAATGCGCTGTGACGAATGAGGGAGGAAGGAATTTTCTATGAGCATGTGAAGTTTGGCTGCTCTCTCTCTGGAGGAAGAAAAACTCTTGCCCTCGTAGAGTCGAGGACTGTGCCTATGGTGATCCGTGGTGTAGGGGCAAGAATGGATTTTTCTTCCTTGATCTTGAGACCCGGATCCGCGAGGAGAGAAAGGGTCAACTGAATACCTTTTAAAGCCTGAGAACGTGAAGGGGAGACTATCAGCCAGTCGTCTATGTAGGGGAAGATGGAGATTCCCAGAGTAAGCAGGTGGGCTGCTACAGATGCCATACATTTTGTGAATACCCTTGGTGCTGTAGAGAGGCCGAAAGGAAGGGCTTTGAATTCATAGGCATGGAGTCCTATGGCGAATCTGAGAAATTTGTGATGGTCTTGGCAAATGATAATGTGGAAATACGCATTGCTTAAATCTATAACTGCAAACCAGACATATCGCTGAAGAATGGATAGGATTAGTTCTAACATAACCATATGAAAACCTCTCTGAATGATGCAATAGTTTAAGTCCCGAAGGTCGAGAATAGGCCACAGACCACCGTCCCGTTTTGGGATGGTAAAATAGTGGGAGAAAAACCCTGGATTGTCTTCTGAAGGAGTGACAGGTGATATGGCGTCCTTTAGGAGAAGAGATTGAATTTCTTGTCTGAGAGCAACGGACGGTGAGGTTAGAACAATCCTTGGTGGAAGTGGGAAATTGAATTCTGTGGTGTAACCTGTAGCGATGATGGTGAGGACCCAGGAATTGGTGGTGACAGATGCCCAAGATGGGAGACGGGCTGAAAGACGAGTGGTGGTGGAAGGAGAAAGGTAAGTAAAGTGGATCTGGGGAATGTAGAAGTCAAAGATTCTGCTTTTGTTTCTTTTCAGAGTAACAAAAAAAAACCTGTTTGGGGCGTTGATGTTGTTTCCCATGTCGAGGTTGGAAGGAAGGGGCAGGCTGTGAAGTATACTTATTCCTGTCAGTAAACGATTTGGATTGTTGGTAAGAGTACGGGCGGCGCCACTGATATTGTTGTGGTCTGTAGTATGGTTGGGTGTTGTATGATCGTGCTGCTTTTCTTAATTTCTGCAGGTTGTCCAGTATGTAATTGTTTTTTCATTGAATAGTCTAGTACCATCGAACGGTAAGTCTTTGATTCTCATACGAGTGTCATCTGAAATATGGGCTGATCGTAGCTAGGCATGTCTACGGAGGGCTATAGCAGTAGCCACCTGCCTGGATGATGCTTCAATAACATGTCTGCCAGTAATACATTCCTGACGTGCAAGGGCCATGGCCTCCTGGTGGAAAGCGAGGCCACAGGGCTTGTATTCGCCTGAAGCCTCGCTTTATTCCAAAGATAACAATAAGCTCCCATGGCTGCAAGATAACTGGCAGTGTGGAAGGTAACTGAGGAAAGGGAATAGATTCTACACCCAACTATGTCTAGTTTCCTTCCTTCTTTGTTATTAGGTGTGGTATTAGAGCGTTTTTGTGCTCTGTTCTGGGTAGCACCAACAATGACTATGTCTAGTTCCTTATTTGTTATTAGGTGTGGTATTAGAGCGTTTTTGTGCTCTGTTCTGGGTAGCATCAACAATGACCGAACTGGGAAGCAGATGTTTGGATAGGAAGGCAGTGTCGTGTCGTCTCTTCTTATATAGATTCTTGACTTTGCAAGACATTTGAGGAACATAGAAGGGCTTAGACCAGGCTTGTTTAGTGAGCTTTAATAACGAAGGGATAAAGCTCATACTTAAGAGGTGGAGTCTGTTCCTCACTGATGTCCTCATACACTTTATCTGATTGAGGTTGAGCAGGTTGCTGAATATCTAGTTTCATAGCTTTTGCAATTCGAAGAACTAATTGAGAACAGGATAAGTCATCAGTTGGTGAAGGAGGATTGGCTTCAGCCACATCCGAGTCTGCTGTAGGTAGATTAGGAGGGGATTCTTGTGCTGGTAAAGAGTCAGAGGCAACAGAAAAGTATAATTGAG